GATGGTGACTGTCATTAGCACATAAATGGCCAATGAAACATGCTTATGGATGACATCATACAGTAAAAAATGCTAATGAAAAAATAAAGTAACAGTGAAGAGTTAAAAATGCCACTTTAGTTAGAACATCTGGATTCAAATTCTGACTCCACCACTGACTACCTATGTAAAATTGTCAAGATTAATTTGGGGCTAATCATTGTACATTGGTCTATAGGAGTTTTTGCAAAGATTAAATGTAATAATGAATGTAAAAAAAAAAAGGCGGAGAGTGCCTCATGAAAAGCAATCTATCAAGACTTCAACTCTTATTGAAAATTTACCCTCCAACTTCAAAAAAAAAAAAACAGACAAAATATATGAAATCAGCTTTGAGGATATTGGACAATGAAGGATGGGTTTTTGTGAAGATGGGGAGCAAATGAGGTGATTGTCCCAGCTTACTGCCTTGCCAGACATTCAGACTAGTTCAGAGAGAGAGACCAACAGACTTCCTGAGCAAAGAAGCAAGAGGAGATTCTGAGAAGACCAAAACAATCAAGCTCACAAGGCAGAGTACCTGGGAGGAGAGAGGTACACACAGAGGATCCCAAAGATCAAGAGAGGTCTCTACCCAGTAAGCAGCAGGGCATGGATCAGCCCCTGCCAAGGAGAAAACTAGCAGAAGCTGCAGAATGAACCACTTGGAAGGATTAAAACCAATGTTGCCTGATGTGATTCAACACAGGGTTGAAAATAATACCTTCACTCATTTGCCAGACTGAGAAACCTTTTAAGTCATGAGACATTACAAAAAGTACTCATAAAGGTTGTACCTGAATAGTGGGAATAGTTAGTCCAAACTGTGGTCCCCCCTAAAATTACCTGAAAAGAAAAACGAAAGAGAATAAACTATTTCCAACTAATTTAGCTTTATCCCAGAGCAAAAAACTCACAAGTTTTTATGGGAATACAGAAATATTTAACTTCCCACAAGGTAAAATTCAGTATCTGATATCCAATAAAAATTGACCAGACAGGCAAAGAAGCAGAATAGTCATAAAAATAAGAAAAATCAATGAACTCAATTTCACACAGAAGAGACACAAGTGTTATAAGTGGCAGACAGGACATCAAATCAATTATAATAACTGTATACCAAAGGTTCAGAAAGCTAGAGGAAGGATTAAGGAGAGACATGGAAGTTTTTAGAGAGTAAAATTGAGCTAGAGATGAAAAGCATGTCTGAGATGGAAAACACACTGGCTATGAATAAGGGCAGATCAGACGTTGGAGGAAAAAAGTTTAGGGAACTTGGATGCTAGCAACTGAAACAGTCTATCATAAAAAGAAAACACAAAGGCAAAAGTTTAAAAAGATGAAAACAACATCAGTGAGCTGTGGGACAACTTAAATTACTTGTAACTACCACACATGTAATTAGAGCCCAGAAAAGACAAGAGGAAAGGGACTTTGAACAAAAGGAGGAAGAAGTGGCTGAAATTTTCTAAATTTGATGAAAACTATATATCTCCATATCCAAGAAGCTGAATGAAACTCAAGTACAAAAACATGATGAAAAACTGTACTAAGGCAAATCATAATCAATTTACTCAAAGTGAAATTCTTAAAGTCAGCCAAAGCACAGATAGTAGACAAGGTTACAAAGGAAGGAAATAACTGGAGCCAAAAGACAGTGAGGCCACATCTTTAATGTTCTGAAATGAAAAAACAACAACAACAACAACAAAAAACCCAAAAGCTGTCAAACTAGAATTCTACCAGAGAATAAGATCTTTCAAATGTGAAAGCAAAATAAAGACATTTCAAGGAGTACAAAAGATAAAAGAATTGTCCACCCACGGACCTACACAAGTATTGTTGTGGACTTCCTGCAGGAAATGGGAAATGCTAGCAGGTGGAATAAGAACCCTTCAAAGGACTCTGTGGCTCCAGATGTGTAGGTAAACATATGAAAGGCTTATTTCTAAATGTACAAATATTTTTAAGATGTAACTGAATACTCAAACAATAATAATATGTCACACTTTATTATATATAGAGAAGTAAATTGTATGATAAGGTTGAGGGAAAAGACATCAAAGAATCTCATAGTTTGGCTCTTATATAAGTGTTAAAGTACCACTTAAATGTAAACTGTGATAAATTAAATATATTAGCTATGAACCCTAAATCAATCATTAAAATAATAGAACAACCAGTCAAATCTAATATGCTAACAATGAGGTAAGTTGGACTATAAGAAATTATTAAGTGAAAAGTAAAAATTAAGAGAGGAAAAGAGAACAAAGGACAGATGGGAAAAATTTTTGAATATATTAAGATTTATAGATTTAAACCTAATTATATCAATAAACACCCAATGAAAAGATCGTGAGTAGGAGGTTGTATTTAAAAAAATCAAGACTCAATTGTTTGCTGCCTTCAAGAAACCAGTTTAAATAAGACACAAAGAGGTTAAAAGCAAAATGATGGGGAAAGATACATCATGCAAGCAGAAAACACAAGAAGAAAAGTTTGTTTTATTAATGTCAAACAAATGAAATTCCCCAAACATAATACTACCAGAAATAAAGTGAGCCATTTCATAATAGCAAATGAGTCAATTTATCAAGATGTAATCATTAATTTAAATATTTCTTTACCTGTGGAGCTTCTAAATATATACCCTCCAAACTGATAGAAATTCAGGGAGAAATTGACAAATCCCCAATTATATGGATGGATTTTAATAGGTTTTTTTCCTCAGTAATTGTTAGAATAAGTAGATACACTATCACCAAAGTCTGAATAGCACCATCAACCAACTTGACCTCACAGTCACAAAAATGTAACCAACTATAGCAAAAGACACATTCTTTGCAAATGCATTGTATTACAATGGCTAAAATTCAAGACTGAGCATACATACTGTTAACAAGGATATAGGAAAACAGAGATCTACTGATGAGAAATAAGATACTACATCCATTTTGAAAGACATTTCCACAATTTCTTTAGAAAGTTAATCATGCACCTATTATGTGATTTATTCTACTCCTAGGCATTTAGCCCTGGCCCCTAAACATGAATTTTGAAAGAATTCTGTAATAAAGTTAATTTGTAAAAGTCCAAACTGAAAAAAAACTGAAATGTTTGTTAATAGTTGAAGGAATATACTAATTGTGGTATGTCCATACCATGGAATGCTACCATGAAAAGAAATGAATTCTTGACCCGTGCAGCAACATGGATAAGTCTCAAACACACGGAATGGAAGAAGCCAAAGGAATGAGTGAATTCATATTGCATGATTCCATTAACATAAAATTCTAACAAATGCAAACTTATAGATGCTGACAAAAAGCAAATTGGTGGATACATAAGAATGCAAGAGATCAGAAGTAAAAGAGGAAATGAGGTAAATGGAAGTTTTTTCTTGAGGGTGCATCTTTATTTATCAAATATCTAGAGCAGTGCCATGTATATAAAAACCATGAAATATATTTTTACATTCCCTTATTTCCTAAGTAACTTTCAAGTCAATCTCAAATTTCATACGTAAAATAGGTGTAAAACATACCTGCTTCACAGATTTTTGTGTGAAAATCCAATGAAATGTAGATATAACTATTTTGACATATTTAAAACTTATAAATATTACTCATCTTCTTGCCACTACTGACGTTCATATTATATTAGAATTTATTTGGCACTTCCTCTTCTGTAGTTTTCCTGGTGACTGGGTGTGGGCTCTTGGTTATTTCCTGAATGAGGACATGATCTCATTGAACAGTTCACCAACATGGCAGGTACCAACTTTAAATGATTTGTCTAATTTTAGGTCTAATCAGTATGCATCTTTCCACTTCTACCACTTATAGTATCATAAGGTTTGCTTTTTATCTTTATTTAAAGAAACAACATTATAAAATAGGGAGTTAAGGAAATTATAAGAATGGTTAATGTCTGAAGACATCTTTTCATTTGAATTGCCTTTGATATGTAATTCTAGTTTCCATGCATCTATAGAACAACTATTCATTGAACATAAGCAGCATCTAGATGTAGGAGATACAGCTATAAATAAAGCAGATGAAATCCCTTCTTTGATGGAATTTAAATTGAAAGCATGGACACACATTTAATTGTATCGATCTTAAAAAAGAAATTCTCAAAGCTAAAGGATGATTAACACAGTGAAAGTAAGAAAAACTGATTATAAAATTGATATGGACAAAAATACAAAGTTTTTATTATTGGTGAGAAGTGTTTCCTATTTTTATTATGACTCTTTTTTCTCAAAATTTTTATTGATACATTATAGTTGTACATATTGATGGTATTTGTTGTTGCATTTATGTACATGTGCTAAGAGCCACAGCCAAGTAATATGATGCATGGCATTTTTGGTTGAAAGGTGATGCCAGCAAGCCATTGAGATGATATGATTATGTTAAGATTTGCATTCATATGGATATTGGACTCCTGCTGTCCACCTGGGCCTGCTATGACTCCTGGAGAGTTCCCATTGGTTGGGGAAGTGCGGTAGGAGGGAATTCCGGAGGAGGAACTTCCTCTTGGGATCCAGAACACTGTGTGCGTGGATCCTCAATCTTCCCGGGAGTTTACGGGGCATTGGCGGCAGTTTCAAAAAATAAAGTTTGTTCCTGCTTGAGTGGCTCGTGATTTTGTGCCCAGGCAGACTGCGGCATACATGCATACATTATGACTCTTAAAATTAAAGTTTTGATGTCATGCAGTGGATAACCAAGAATGTGTTTGCTTCTTTCTATACAAGGCAGAAAGTCAGGGGCATTACTGCTTCTATCCCCTGCCTGAATATAGTAGAGAGTATTTAAGGAACTGGGTAGTAATTTTATAACTATGATTCACATTTTTTAAAGATATTGTGGCTCATCAGTAGAGCACTCATCTAGCACATGTGAAGCCCTGGGTTCGTTCCTTAGCACCACATTAAAATAAATAAATAAAATGATTTTTAAAAAAGATATTATTCCTCTGGCCCAAAAATACTTTTAAAAAATGTTTATTTCAAACAGGCATGCTGCCCAGATATAAGCTGCTGGGCTTGCAAATTGCATTTTCCTTGTTTATTCAGATAGTCAGCAGGAGGTTGGATTTGATGTTCCTTAGAAACAGTTGTTCATTTCACTCTTCACCTCTTCAGAGAGAGAAATCAATTTTTATAGGCATATACAAATGCCATGAAGTCACTCATACACTTCATTTTCAGAAACAGCAAACTGTAAATAGAATACATAATTGTTATATTTCCTGTGTTGATTTTTTAAAATGTCACAAGAGTTATCCTTGTAAAAGGTGAATTCAGTTAGGGCAGTCCCTGAAATCTCCATACTCAGGAAATTCATTCATTCATTAAAAATATGTTTACATTTTTTGTACATGTTCATGAGGAACATTAAAGCCAAGAGATAAAATGATTAACTTTAGGGAAGAATATTAAAGAGAGAGTAATTAGTTCCTATATGCTTAGAATATAAAATGATTTTTTAAATACTTAGATATATCTATCATAACATGATTTATGATAAACAGGGAAATATTATCTTCAAAGTACCTGAGATGGAGTTACAAATAATCCTTTAAAAATAGTAGCTAACAATAGGCCATAAATCAGTTTGAAAGCCTCTGGGATCATCTTAGGGCTCCCAGGCCTGATTTTCTCAGTGTTAATACATGCACTGCTAGATACTGAGAAGACAAGATTGGGTATTAAAATATGAAAGAAATTGGAGGCTTGTCATTAGAATAAAGAAATAGACTTATTTCCCCAACCTCTTCTATTTCAAGGATAAATGACTTGGGAAACTTGGATATCCATCCCTAAAACTGTATCTCAGAAGGAAGTAGTTCTCAATAGTTTGATTTCCTAAATTAAGGGACCCATATTTTGGACCAAGTCTGTCCTGTAAGTCTCACCAATGGTTAGCTTTAAATGGAATGATGAAATTTAAAGGTAAGAGCATGTCTCTGCAACATGCTCTAAGGGAATATTGGGGAATGGCTTTGGAGTATATATTTTTGGGGGAGTATATATAATATTGTTTTAAGGGAATTATGAGAATAAAGATTATGCTTATGAGTTTATGTTAAATTGTAAATATATTAAAGCATGATTTGACTATGATTATTGCTAATGCCATAATTATGTTAACAATAATATTGCATATGCATCATAAAAATGAGAGGCAGTGGAATATGAGTCACAAATAGGGGTCATGAAAGCCTCCCCTCCTTTTGTGACCAGAGCGCCATTTCCTCTCATCTTTTCAAGAACTTTATTCCTTTGTTATGCCCTCTTTCTCCTGAATCTTTAATCTATCTCTCTGTAATCTATTATTCCTATCAACAGTCAGCTGATTTCTCATCTCCTATTTGAAAAAGCTTCTCTGGACCCCAGATCTCCCTTTAGTACTGTACAATTTTTCCGTTCCCTAGAATTTCTAAGTTTCTTGTTGGAAACAAAGGATGCAAATATAGCAACTATTTCCTCACCTCCCATTCGCTCTTCCATCCTCTAATGCATGCTCCAATCTTCAAATGTCAAAGGCAATGGCCACTACCTTTTCAAGGTTGATCATATCACTCTCTCCTTAAAAGACTTTCTTTTCCCTGTTTTCATGATATACCCACCGCCACCTCCTCTTCCAACTCAAACTAACATTCTTTATTTTCTCTTCGGTTACATTTTTGTAAATTCCTTTACTAGTTCCTTTTGTCATTACCTCTCTGCTCCAGGCCCAGGGCCAAGTGGACCATACGTAATTTTGCTATCATAATTGCTCTCTTAATAACTAGAGTACTAAAATACCCAAAATGTTAAAAACATGAATCTACTTCTCAACATAGGCAAGGCTATAGTTTGTATCTCTCGCTAGAGCCAGATAAATATAGTTAAAAGCATATTTTCTCAAATTCAGGCATTATTTATTCAGTTTTTCATTCAATGTATATTATTCAGTACCTACAATGTGTCACATATTGTTACAGATGCTAAAGACAAAACAGTAATCAAGATATAAGCGGTCCCTGACCTCATGAAACATGAGACAGTCAAGGCTGAGAGATAAATTGGGGGATGATACAAGGATTAAGAGCATTATCATAATTGATTAAACACTGGATTTTCATCAGTTCATGTTAGAGACACTAAACTCCACAGAATGTTTTCTTTTCACCTAGGAATATAAGCAAAGACCAGACCTCTGTGCCCTTGCTATATATCTCTTTACCTCAAGGAATTCTTATAATCAAAATCTGTGGGTAAACTCCTGTTAATTTTAATATCTACCCTTTAAGACACACTTGAGAAGAATAGGACCTAGGGATTGAAAATAAACACTATTAATTGAATAATTCATAAAAAAATAATATGGAGGCTAAACATTCAGTTCAATAATTTAGAACTGTACCACAATCCATTTCCTGCTAAAAATAGAGGGAAACCATTCTGGTAGTGAGACAGGTACTTGTGACACATATACAAATGGCATGATTTTCTCCACATTGAAGAATACCACTACTTTGAGTAAAGTAAAATATCAATATAAAATTTAAAAAGCATTTCTTAGTGCGAATCTGGCTAGGTCTCTTAGTGTGAATCTGGCTATATCTCTTTTCATTGATAAAATGTGTTCATTCCACCTGACTCATCAGATTGTTAGAAATTATTAGGGTAAAGATTATTCTTATGAATTTATATTAAATTGAAAATATATTAAAACATGATTTGACTATGATCATTGCTATTGCCATAGTAATGTTAACAATAATATTGCAGGCCTTCTAGAACAAATGTTTTTATGTATTCAAAATGCCCTTAATTTTTACCTTCTTATTGTTTTTATGCATACTTGAGGACCCTTAAATCCTAAGATAACATATATGCTGAAATTTCATATCTGTCTAGATAGCTGTTTTAGTCAGATTGTTCATCACTGGACCAAAAGACCTGATAACAATTAGAAGAGTAAAAGTTTATTTGGGGCTCATGGTTTCAGAGGTCTCAAGCCACTGATGACTGACTCCATTGCTCTAAGCCCAACGTCAGATAGCACATCATGGAGGAAAGGTATGGTGGAGGCAAGCAGCTCAGGACATAGCAAACAGGAAGCAGAGAGAGCTCCAGTTACCAGGAGCAAATATATACTCCAAAGGCATGCCCCAAGTGATTTACCTTCCCCATCCACACCCTACCTGGCTCAGGTTACTGCTGAAATAATTGATATCAGTGGATTAACCAACTGATCAGGCCTCACCTATCATAATCTATCATTTCACCTCTGAAAATTCTTGCATTTTCTCACACATGATCTTTTGGGGGATACTTCACATCTAAACTTTAGAAGTAGCTAATATGAATATGAAAGCATTGTGGAAAATGAAAGTTTATTCAATATACCTATATGAGTTTTTGACTAGAAACTGTCAAGATAGTTGAATTAGATAGCCCTAGTCTAGATGATGCTAGACTTTCTTAAAGATGTCTTTGTGAATTTGACAAATAGCAATTACTAAACATAGCCAAAAGTGGTAAGTATTCCAATTTCAACTTGTCAAAAAATAACTGCAGACTAAGAGGAAATGCATGATAGGAAACATCTGTTCCCTTCTCAGTCCTGCTGAGAGATGATGAGGATACACCTTTTGACATAAAATAATAAATAAATAAAGTGAAATTCTAAAAGTCAGATTATTTTTATATTACCTTATTGAACAAGGTGTAAATGCATAATTTAAAATATTATGATATGCTCTTATTGACTTAAACACACTAAAAAGACGTTGATTTATTCAATCTCCATATTTTGGTAAGGGAAATATTAATAAGAGAGCTAAAATTCGAACTTTAAAGGTAAGAAAAAACTTTAAAGGTGGTGGTTTGGCTCTTTCACTACTGCTTTTATAATTTGTGTGATTGGCATAATATTAATATTCTGCTTCCATCAAGATGTATCTTTTGAGTTCCCAAACACATAGCTCTTACAAGTAAATTTACTTTTGAGATTATTGTCTCTACTATAAATTTTAATAGCCTAATTTGGCACCCAAACCTAGGTTTTAGATATTCTATGTTTACTTATCATGTAAGAATTCCACAAATTATTTCCTCAAGGATTAGTTAAGTAGGGAGAAGGGAAACAAGAAAGAAGAAGGAAAAGAGGGAGGAAGGAATTAAAAGGAAAGAAAGAAGGGAGGGAGAAAGTTAAGGAATTGGATGAGGGAATTAATTGATATAAAAATATTCTTGCTGTAAATATGTTGGTACACATTGTTAAGTAAAATAACAAAGCAAACTAAATACCAAACAAACAACAACAACAAAACTAAGTAGCCATAATGCAATGGATCAACTGTAGCTATTATTAATTACTAGGGCAATTCATTGATTTTTTTAAGTAGCATTTACATATCATGTCTCTCAGTTCTCTTACCAACCTCAACATAAGTATCATACAAACAAAGGAAATAGAAAGGAAAGAAGTTTTGAGTGGACAGTATTCCACTCAACTTAGAGGCGAAATCTATGCTATATCACATGTTCAAATAATGAAGTGGTAGGCAATTGTGTAAATTGCCTAAATAATTCATGGTAACCCATCTTTTGGCAAATATAATGGTATAGACAGGGCAGATGGTCAAAATATTATCACTCTGAAGGTACATATATAGACCAATCAGAAGATGACTGCTATAATGTTGGGGTGCAGCCACGGGGCTCCTCATGCGCCAGGTATTAGCACTTTGGTTGCTGGATTGAGAAAAATCTTGGGATTCCAAGGAAGTAAGATTTTTTCCCAGGTAGCTGAAAAAGTGGAAGATAAACTAGGAGGGTCTGGGAGAGTAGCTATTAATTAGCAGTCTATACCAGTGCCTACTGGCTGAGCATCTGGTATTGTTACCAGCCTAGTACAGTATGAATCTTCTTCTCAGCCCTCTGATATCACTACTGTCATGTGTCTTCATTTTTATAGATCAAATATATCAGCCTGCCCCAATGAAATACTAAAATAGGCTATAAACTCATCTGCGCTTATGTGTGTGCCAGAGGGGTTGATTAGTAGGGTTTGTTTTTTGTTCCTGCTCTATTTCTACTCACCTCTCTCACAACCCTCTAGAGCCTATATATTTGAGTGGAGTGAATAGAGTTGATCCTATCCAGAGACTCATAGGAGGAGGGGAGCAATAGCATAGAACTAATAAGAAATTTTGAGTCCACTGTTAACATCCCTCTTATGTACTTAGCTCACAAGTAGAGATCTGCGTACCCTTTACTTCAAATCTCAACCTCTTTTTCTACCTTCTGGGGACATCTACCTTTGCTTCTCCACAGGTGGACTTGAAATACAGGATAATTGCTTCCTGGGGTATTTGGAGTTAACTAGGATGTGCGGCACTGGCCTTTAAGGCACTTGATATTAATAGATATGGGGGAAGGAGATTCCTCAAGCTTGTAGAAAGTAAAAACAAAATGAAAAAGTATCTGTTGTCTTTATAACTCTCCCAAGTATTTAATAACTTCTCTAAGTCACTAACTCTTAGACCTCAAGCTTGACTGCATTTTATTTACATGATTCATCTCATAGAGTGTTGTTCCACACAGATGGCATTCAGGAAACATTTATTGAATTAATCAAATAAATAATTGAATTTTCTGTTATGGAAAAACAATCTTACCTCAAATGTCCTATCTAGTTTATTTTTGGCAATTGTGTTTCTTTTCTTTTGAGCTTTTAAAAAAACAATTATTACGAAGAGCATGAGAAGAAGATTAACATTAAACAGGGATGAGAGGTGGGAGGGAAAGGGAGAGAGAAGGGAAATTGCATGGAAATGGAAGGAGACCCTCAGGGTTATACAAAATTACATACAAGAGGAAGTGAGGGGAAAGGGAAAAATAATACAAGGGGGAGAAATGAATGACAATAGAGGGGGTAGAGAGAGAAGAGGGGAGGGGAGGGGAAGAGAGGGGGGATAGTAGAGGATAGGAAAGGCAGCAGAATACAACAGACACTAGTATGGCAATATGTAAATCAATGGATGTGTAACTGATGTGATTCTGCAATCTGTATACGGGGTAAAAATGGGAGTTCATAACCCACTTGAATCAAAGTGTGAAATATGATATATCAAGAACTATGTAATGTTTTGAACAGCCAACAATAAAAATTAAAAAAAATTATTAAAATGTTTCTTCCAGAGTTTTGTGTGATAAAAGGGATTTAATAATTCTAAAACATTAACTCTAATAATGTTTTTTTCCTAATAAAAAAAGCATTTTTAAAAAATTCTTGCTTACCTGGCCTCTGAACTAAATTGAAAGGAGTCAGTGTCTTTCAGTTAAAAACACTTGCAAACAAAATCTGTAGATAAATAAAACATTAATTACTAAAAGATCCTTTCTGGTGTAAGAAGATCATGGCTAAATGAATAATAAATTACAAGTTTAGGATTACCTGTTTCATCTTTTCTTTCCCTCTTGACTCTTCTTGTAATTCATCAAAATGGGAATTAGGCAGCAAGGAAAACTGAAATTTAAAAGGCCAGTAATTATTTTGTTTTACTCAAATATTAAAATTCCCATCATTAACTCTTAACATATATACTTAACATGTATGCTTTAATTCATGTATTCATTATCATTCAGTTGATTTTGGGGGGACTTTATTCTACAAAAAAAGCCTTTTTAATATCTTTCCCTTTCTAGTTACAATAGCTCAAGTTGGTTTATAGTCCTTTTAATCAGTCTCAAAAAATAAAATCACCTATGCTGATTTTCTAGTAGAGTCAAGGATTTTGAGTTTCCTTTCATGAAGACTGAAGGACAAAGCCTGAGGGAATTGCTGTGAGTAGGGCGGTAACAGGATGAGCCTAGTGACAGCAGGCTGAGGCTAGCAAAGGCAAACCAAGAATCCAAAGACCATATTTCAATCTGAAATGCACCAACAGTTGATGATGAGCCTTGACTATGTTAAGACAGTGCTGTCTCATAGAAATAGAATTTAACCCAACTAAAAAAAGTTAACTGTTTCAGCAGTCACATTTAAAATAGCAAAAAGATGCATCAAAATATTTACCTATGTCCAAAAATTTGCACAGGTAATCAATATAAAATTACTAAGGAGATAGTTTACATTATTTTTCTTCATACTAAGACTTTGATATTTGATATCATTCACAGCTCAGAACTGAATTTTTATCAGAAATATATGTTCAACATCATAAAAGTTACGATTACAAAAGTACATTTACCTATGTAAGTTGCTCCAAACATTTTCCAATAACTGAATTGGTAGTTTTTTGTTTTTGTTTTTTGGTTTTGATACCAGAGATTGAACCCAGGAGCACTTTTGGACTGAGCTAAATCTCTAGCCCTTTTCTGTTTTCTATTTTGAGACAGGTCTCACTAAGTTGCTTTGGGCTTTGCTAAATTGCTGAGGTTGTCTTTAAACTTGGGATCCAACTGCCTTAGCCTCCAGAGCTGCTAGGATTATAGGCATGTATTGTTATGCCATATTTGTGGGACCCCAGAGATCTCCAGGAGCCCAATCCGATGCAAGTACACAAGAGTCTCTATTGCAAGCTTGAGCCTAGACTCACAACCGTTCCAGACGCAGCGGTCCCAGGGAGTGAGTCCTGGTCCTTTTTTCAGTGAGATTTTATAGGTTTTGGGGGGATACGCTATGCGTCACAACATCGCACAGCAAATCATTCCGAACCCCAGGAAAATCAAACAAAAACTCTTAACATTGATTAGCACATTCAATGGCGGGAACAAGATGGGTAGGGGTGATTGGTTAGTACAAGAGGGGGATTCTTTTGAACTGACTGGTTTAGGCCATAAAGGGTGTACGTGCTCAGCTACATGGTTTCCCAACATGTTATCAACCACCATAAACTACTTGGGGGTCATCTGGCATCCCAGGTATTCTCCCTGTCTCATGCTGATTGGAGGTTGCTAAGGGTGTTGCTATGGGTCCTCACCTAGCCTAACTGAGTCAGGGACACCTGATGCCACAGACCTCTCCTGTTATTTACAGACAAACAACTCAGCAGGGTGGGTATGTGCTTAGGAGTGCTCTGTGGGTTTTTCCAAGGACAAGGATCATGCTCCTTCCTTAGGACAGGCCTTGAGGTAGAAGCTGCTGTTATTTATTTATTTTTAAAAATGGAGTCACATTAATTTCTCAGTATAACCCTGGCTGAATTGTTAGTTTATTTTTTTTTAATTGACACATAAAAATTACCCGTATTTATGAAGTACCATTTAATGGTTTTATATGAGTATACAATTGTGTAGTGTTCAAATCAGGTAAGCATATCTAAGACCTCATTTATCATTTCCTTGTTGCAAAAACACTTGAAATTTTTTCTTTTAGCTTTTTGAAATGAAAACTATACTACCATTATCTATCATCACCCTATTGTGCAATAGCACAGCAGAACTTTTTTCTCCTGTCACTCAGTACATGTTGGCCAAACTTTCCCCATCTTTTCCTTCCCCTTAAGAGCCCCAGTCTCAAAGGTTTTAAAATTTAAACCTGCAGCCTGGGGAGTTAGTTTAATGGTAGAGTACTTGCCTAGCCTATGCAAGGCCCTGGGTTTGATCCCCATTACTGAAAAGTATATAGATTTGAATTAACTAAAGCTAAAATTGTTGAGGGCCACAGCCGAGTCAGGATGACATATGGCATTTTTGCCAGAAGTAGTGGTTGAGAGGTGACGCTAGTGAGCCATTAAGATGATGACTTTTGAGTTCTGGCAGAGTTCCCGTTGAGTTCCGCTTGAGCTCTCACGGGGATTCCCAGAGAGTTCCCATTGGTTGGGGAAGTGCCAGAGGAGGGATTTTTCCGGTTGCTGGTTCCTGGAGGAGCCGCGTGGCATTTGGGAGAATTCCCGCAGAGCATGTGTGGAGTGTGCTGGTGGAGTTCAGAAATAAAGTTTGTTCCTGCTTCAGTGGCTCATGATTTGTGCCCAGCCAGACTGCGGCATAAAATTCCAGCTTTAAGTAATAATTAGTACATTTCAAGTGAAGAGCCACATGTGGATGTTGTTCCCACACTGGATAGTATAGTTCTAAACTGAGTTTACACTGGCTAAGAGAGTCTTTGAAAGGTAAGCATTTTGAAATGCCAGCCAGATAGAGAGGCAGGGTGTGTAAAATTGACAAGCTAGATATTCAGCTTCTGAGTAATCCATCAGTGACTGCTAAAATCCACTTGCTCAATACTCAGCCTTTTCCAGCTGTATTAATACTCAGGTCCAGTGTGGAGTTATGACTTGAAATTTTCAAATCTTTAAAAAACAATGTTAGTGCAAGAGTGCAGAGAAGTCTTTGACAGCTCCTTGATGTTATCTAGTCCAATTAATTTTATAGTAATGAAATATATACAGAAAGAACAATTCAGTTTTCAAAAATCTCATTCAGTTAAGGAAAAGGCTGGTCTCAAATCTAGACCCAGTATAACAGTTCTTTTTCCCCATCAAATCAAATAAAATTCTAATATAATATAATATCAAATGGATAACAAATACACTTTGCAAATACAATTTTAATCCTTTTCTTTAAACATAAGCTAGATTTTTAAGCTATAGAATTACTGTATTACATCAGCACTTGATGTTATACAGTAATGTAATATCAAAGTGTTATTTTGTTATCTAATATCAACCCTACTGGGTAAGAGATTAAAAATAAAATTGATGTTTAAATGGAAAAAAATGAGCACAAATTACTTTAGAAGCAATGAGATGAAGGCAGTTGGAGTTAAAGCTTTAGTTTTGAACATTAAAAAATCACATATAACAACAGTTACGTTAGCAAATTCACATGAAAAATTTTTATCTGATCCCAGGCACAGTGACTCATGCCTATAATTCAAGTGGCTTAGGAGGCTGAGGCAAGAGGATTGCAAGTTTGAGGCCAGCCTCAGCAACTTAGTGAGGCCCTAAGCAACTTACTGAAACCCTGTCTTAAAAAATAAATAAATACAAAGCGCTGGGAATGTAGCTCAGTACTTCTGGGTTCAATGCCCAGTACCAAAAACAAAACAACAACAACCAAGTAAACAAAATAAAACAAATTATTTTTTCTTTTTCTGAGACATGTATGATTCACTGTCATTTCCTGGATCAAACTAAGTGAAAAGGGTAAATCTAAGTTTGTTTGTTTTACTTTGCAAGTGGACTTTAGTCCTAGAGAGGTTAATGAATATATGAGGCACTTGTAATTATTTACCAACCTTTACATATTATATAGAGAAGAATCAAATATTGCAGTAATTATTTTTGTCTTTAGAAAAGCATCACAGAGGAGACTTCAATCTTTGCCAAACTGAACAAGTTGACACACTTCACTAATTGCTTCTCATAGAATATATCATCTCCATTATCTCCACAAATGAATAAAGGTTATTTAAGTTCAGGATTCCATTGCAAATTAATTATGCAACTATCAGATATAGTGAGTACTTATGGTTGCATAGACTCAGCTATTAGAGTTAAATTCATAGCTACTAGTTTTAAGGAGTTCACACATTATTTGACTCTTACCTGAAAGTTTTATATAAGAACCAGCAAAGCCTTTTCATTCAGAGCTCCCTACAGTAGGGGTCAGTCACTGTTACTTGCATTTTGGCAGAGACTCAAAGGTAGATGGAACAGTGGGAGAGATTTATGGAAGAAAAAGAGAACGTTTCAGGTATGTTCTTGAGTGAAGGCTGTTGGCATGAGGAAGCTGTAGGTGTGCTAACTGGACATGAGGCATCCTTTGTGACTGATTAGGGATGCATATTCAGATTTCACTGTTTGGTCTTAAATTGGAAGTGGATCAAACATTAAGGAAGCTGTCACTTATTGATCAAGTCCTGGCTATTTTGGGGCAGTTGTTACAGTCTTGATTGTTAGCTAGATTGTTACTAGAGATAGTGATTGTAGATTTTCCACAAGTCTCACTTATACATAGCTGACTGACTTCTTGGGCTGATTACTGTAGATAATGGGTTGTTTTACTGCCTGTTATTTCAGATTGTGGGTCAGAATTCAATTTTTTTCTCTTTTTTGGCACTGAGGATTAAACTCAGGGGCATTTAACCACTGAGCCACATCCCCAAATCTATTTTGTATATTATTTAGGGACAGGGTCTCACTGAGTTGCTTAGTGCCTCATCATTGCTGAGACTGGCTTTGAACTTATGATCCTCTTGCTTTAGCCTCCTGAGTGGCTGGGATTACAGGTGTGTGCCACCGTGCCCAGCCAGAATTCAATTTTATGTGTAGTTTGGCCATTATCCATTTGTATATTCAGTTTTCAGTATCCATGAGTAATAATAATATTTTAAATCATCAATCAACTGGGAAATTAATTTCTTAAATTAATGACATTTTTTTCTTCTTAAATTAATTAAATTTGAATTTCTATTGCTTTTGTTTTATAAACTATAGTCTGTGATTATTTGAATTATTCAACCCTTGCTGTTTTCTTAGAAGAAAAAAAAGAACAAAATACCTGTTTAAATATAATTTTCTA